CGCGAACGACGCGACTCCATTTACCTGACGTTCTCCAGACATTTCGTGGCGGACAGTAACCAGTTCGAGTCCAACAGCAGCGCCTCGCAGCGGAAGCGTCCGTCGACAAAGATGGCGGCCAACCAAGGCCACAGGTGTTCTCGCCTTCCGGTATTCGAATCGCTGGTTAAATACGCATGCGCATTACCGTCCAGAGTCGACGCACAACGAATATAAAGTCCCAAACAGGTTTCCAAGTTTCCCGCTTGGCTCAGAGAGGTCGTTGAGGAGGCCTCTCGGTAAAACGTAAAGTTCTTCTTCTGCCAAGCTATCGTTTCGAGCTTAGAATTCTTCACAGTGATGGATTCCGATGATTCGAAGTTTCTTTAAAGAAGCGAGGAGGCAGTGAGTTATTAAAATGTCGTCTTCGGTCAGATTTAATTAAAATATATATAAAACTCACGCGAAACCAAAGTATTCACACATATTTTGTCCAATAAGCTTGGTCGTGGATTGATTTTTATGGATCTTGGGACGATGGCAAACTGGTTGCCATCTCTCCTTAATATATCTGGTCAAAATTCCTTCCTTGTTCAAAAATGGCCGTCCATTGGCATCCAAGTACACACGGTGGCCATCGGTGAACGCGACTGAAAGGGAATGAAATCAGATATCTTCGAATATCGTGAAAAATTATTGATCAATTGAAATTGATGGCTCACAGCAATCGAGCTCGTCCTCCTTAAACTCGCAATCGAATTTTCCATCGCATTTCTTCGACATCGAAATACAATTTCTGCTCGTTGTACAGAAAAATTCGCTCTTCCCGCAAAGCTCTGAATAAACGAATGAAAATTACTCGTATTGCATTGCACGGTTGGAAAATATATGGAAAAGTACTTACCACAGTCTCGTTCGTCGGTCAAATCGTCGCAATCCGCGTAACCATCGCAGATGGCGGTCGGTCTTAAGTTCTGCAAATAATCTTTGCAAGTACAATTTAACTCGTCTGTACTGTCCTCGCAGTCCACTACTCTGTCGCATCTCTTCTCGATTGTGACGCTTTGAAGCAACCTACGAGTTTTTCCATGAAAATTGGAAAAGATTATCTACTCGATCGATTTATTATTTAATGTAATATATTGTTAATATTTTAAATTGAAATACCTTGTACAAGTGAAAATGGTAGGAAAACGCGTCGACGTTATCGAGGAGGCATTTTCAACATAATTAGAACTAAAAGTTGTAGAAGTCGTGGTGCTGGTTTCGTCGTCGAATTTCAAATTAGAATTAGAGGTGGTCGAAGCCGTGTTTAATTCCAATTCGTTGCTCATTCGATCTTCGGATCTATCCGCAGGCTTGTTGCTCGTATCATCGAACAATGGAGAGACTAAAAGAGATTTGCACGAATCTTATCACGACTAAATTAGCTTAGAGTTAATTATTTCGATTTTTCGAACACGTACCAGAGGTGAAGATTTCGCCAGGTTTCGTGGGATCTTCGCCCATTTCCATGGTGGAAGGTACACCATTTTCGAAACTAGCGTTGCCTAGTTGTCTGTAAATTGGATAATGGCGGCAATTGACCTCGTCTTCGCCGTCCAAACAATCGATCACTCGATTGCAACGAGCCTCCACTGGCAAACATTTGCCCAAACCACCCTCGCAACTGAAGCCTGGACATCTTTTCAAGGGGGTTCGTCTCAAAGGAACTATCCCTTGATCACCTGAAAAATACACGCGAGAAAGAAATTAACATTGAAATAATCTATCGCGATCGAGTATTCCTTCAACGTTTCAAAAAAAAAAAAAAAAAAAGGTTTAAAATAAAATTTTCACGACTCACTGGAAATTTCTTGAATCCAGTTCAGGAAGTAGCTGACTCTCGTATAGGCGCCCGGTTCGTTCGGTCGAGCGCATCCTTCGCCATGACTAATTATGCCCGCCACGTACCACTGCGATTCTGAGTATGGATTTCTGCAAATATATACATATATATCTCGAATATATCGATAAAAATCGAAAAACAAGCGGAATTCTTCGCCCTCGCTCGTATTTATCCCGATCCTATATTCTAGGGATCCCTAGATCTTTAATAGTAATAAATGCGATACCTGCACAACAAGGGACCACCACTATCCCCTTGGCAAGCATCACGGCCACCTTGGGGGTATCCAGCGCAAATGGCGGCCTCGTTCTGATCAACCTCGTGTTTGCAATTCTTTAATATGGGTACTTCTACTTCTCTCAAGTGGTCGGCTTGAAAAAAAAGATACAAATTTAATCGAAAAAAAATATAGAAGAATTTTTGGGTTATTTATTGTCGGAATATCTTACGATCAGGTCCATACTCCCTCAAAGCGCCCCAGCCGATCGCTACACAAGTGGAGTTAGGCTCAGGCTTGTTTCTCCACATGGGGCCCAAGATATCCTTGCTAGGGAGGCAAACTTGTCGGATCCATCGATTGAAACGTAGAGGATCGTCAAGCTTGATCATACCGATGTCGTTCTTCATGTCTTTCCCGTTGTAACGAGGATGCATCACCGTGTGTCGCGCTTTCCTGATCTGCGACATAGGCGAGAAAGAATGCCTACGAAGTATTCCCGCCTGGATCTCGAAATAGTGGTCCGTGTAACTGTCATCATGTTTTAAACAACATTGTGATGATTCGAAACATACAACCAACGTAAATAGAACATAAATGCTTTGATAAAAAAAATCCATTTTAAATATTGCACTGCTGTGTATCTCATTGAAATATATTATTCACGAATTTTCTTCAAATTTTTCTTTGAAAAGAAAAAGAAAAAAGAATCAATTTTCTTCGAAAAACGCAACATATATCCTTACCCCTCGAGGCAGTGAGCCGCGGTCAGGATCCACATTTCGTTCAGGATAACACCGCCGCAGCAAAAGACACCGTTCTTGTAAATGGCGACCAGGAATGGCCACGCTTTCGGCTGGCTCGCCCTGCCGCCGACAACGCGCAATTGCGAGCCCACCATATCGTCCTCTTTATCCCCGTTTTCATCGAATTTCATCGGATCTATCCGATTCCTGTACCCGGGCCACACCAGCTCGTCGAACATCTGGAACGTGTTCCGCTCCTCCTTCTCCAACACATGGGGCTCCAGGGAATCCTCGTGGGAAAACGCGCTCGTTCCACAACGGGAACGTGGACAACGAACGAAAACAGCGGTGTCCATACACGAGGGAACCAACTTTATCCGATCGTTCACCTCGGCTATATAGGGTCCCCTATACGCGTTGGCAGGCATCGAGTGGATTTTCACCTCTGGATATCCGCTGCGATTGAAAACGATGGTGAAAAATACGAGTTAATCAAGTTTCACTAGGAAATCGAGTGAAATTCTCATCCCTTTGGGGGGGTTAAACAAAAGGAATTGTATTGATTTTTATATCGTTTATTATTTCTCTTGGATCGATCTTAAATTAACTCTATCTATTTGGAACATCATCAATTATGGAAAAAGTTTATTATTGGATAAAGTCAGAATTATAAAAAGTTAAAGAAAAATGTGTTTGTTTAACTATAATAGTCTTAATTCTTTCAACTGGTAGGTAAAAATTTTGATAAATGGAATTCTATCGTACCTAATGTCGTGGCCAATTTCGGATATGCAGGCATCCTTGGTCCATGATTTGACCACTGTACACACGGGATACCATTGGCCCTTGAAGTTCTTGTGAAGGTATCCTTCGTTGTAGCCAATCGTGAATACCTGATAAAAGTTTATTACAATAGTTAAGATTCATGAATTAGAAGAAATTGTAGAAGGAATTGTAACTCGACGAGTTACATTTTTCCCCTCGAGGAACGAAGGGGTGAGAATATTGCATTCCATTTCATCTTTTCCATTGGCACAATTCTTCACTCCGTCGCATCTTTGCGAAAGTGGGACGCAATTGTCCTTGCTGTACCGTCTTTGCCAATCGTTGCAACTGAACGAAGTCTTTGGACAACCTGGAACACGATAAATATTTAATTAGAATAACTAATAAAGAATTTTTTCATTTGAGTAAAACAGCAGTCCATTGTTCCATGGATAAAATAGTTCCGAATGGATAGTATAGGATAAGATATACCTGATGCCATCTCGTGTGAAATATGCACGATCATCAAATATGCCCCTATGTTGTAAATTAATTTTTATATTCAGTTATATTTTATCGAGCTCCGATCATTATATCGATATTTCTCGTTTGTAAATTCGTTGCATTTTTTCACGTCACAGTTTTTGATTTACTTTACTCGAATAATTATAATAAAATTCTTATCTACTCTATCGATGAAACAGAGTTCTGCTGCACGACTTGTAACAAATACCTCCATATTTATATATATACATACTCTTAGAGTAATAACATTTTAAAGATCCAAATATTTTCCAATATTAAGTTCTCTAATTCTAGAGTTCCCTAGAATTTCCCTAAATCCTAAAATTCTAAAGTTTCTAAATACACATATTATAAAAGTCTCAAGCTCTAGTGTTCCCTAGAACCTTTACAAATCCCAAAATCCTTACCCAAACATCCCAATTCGTCCTCTCCATGCGGGCAATCGAAGTAACCGTCGCAAAGTCGTTCCTGGGAAATTCGATCTCTGCAAGAGCACGTCGTCTCGTCGCTCGCATCGTAACAATCCACCAATCCGTCGCACCATTGCGTCCTGAATACGCATCGTTTCTCGTCGTTGCATCGAATCATATTAGACGGACACGATCCAGGATATTCTTTCGAAGAAACCAAAATTAATCTATCTTCGACAAATGAATCTCGAATATCATTTATTACGACAATAATAATATTAAAAATAATAACACGTGTACAATCATTCGGATAATAAAATAATTACACATTCTTACCGTCCTCCGAATCGTCCTCTTTCTCGTTGCTCCCGTATTTAACGGACGACCTCTGATTGTACTCGGACACTCCAGGAACACTGGGGAACTGGAAGGTCGGCGCTGGGATGAAGGTGCAATAATAAGGCGTTTTCGAATTCGCGTTTCCGCTCGGCAAGCTCGGCTGTTGCCTGGGAAATATAGGAAAATTGGGGACCGCAGGCCCAGTCGGGCCTTGGAACTTTTGCCGCCATTTTGCAGCCCAATGTTTCCAGGGAAGAATTGCACCGATTGCGCCTGCACTTGCACGTAATTTGGCGCGTGATTCGTGTTCTGGTAACCTTGGCGGTGGTGTTGTGAAATCGGATACCCGATCTCCGCGGCCGAGGAGGCCCCGTACATCCCTTGATCCGCGCCGCCCGTTGATTGTTTCGTCGGATTGTTGCTCGACCCCGGCCCGAAGAAACAGACCTGATGCGGTATCCAGGATATGGTCGGCGTGAGCACCAGTTGCTGGGAGGATTTCATCGTTTCCGCGGTGGGAATCATGCCCGGTGTCGACGGCACGTTCCCTTTCGTCACGATTCTGCTTTGGGGATCGCGCATCTTCATCTGGCGGCTCGTTCCTTCTACTCCTGAAATTCAGAATTGAATTTGGAACGCGT